TACATTCCATTGAAGCCGAGGTTCATTCGAATAACGCCGCTTCCTTTGAACCAGGTGCGGTTGTCTACGTATTTCTGGCATTAAAAGGTGCACTTGGCAAGATGTTTAAAAATGAATGGCACAAGGACACAATGATAGAGTCGACAATATTTCCCCTGAATAGCAAGATCAAATTTAAACTCATTTTCCATCTGGAAGAAATTACATTTTTTCTGTAATTCCCCAATCGACCTTTGCATTCTATTCACAAGTACAATGTCAACATTCTGTGACCTGTAGCTTCCCCCTGTGTTACTCAACTTTATCACATAAGACCTCATCCTTGTGACATCATTTCTCATCCTCGTCGCATCTATTTACAGCCTGATTACCTATGCGTGATACATATACTGAAACATGTGATGATAGGAATAACTCATAATTATCCATGATTCTACCAAGAATGAGAGCTTTGAACCGGGAGCTTCATGCCTATCAATTTGGGGTGGGTACAGGATTCGACCCGCCTTAAAATTGATCAGTGACGTTCTCTTACAGGAGAAAGAGTGGAGACAGATTTATCACAGAGGTATAGCATTGATCGCCACGAATCAGACTGGCTGCAGCGTATTCTGGCAACGAGCATAAGCCTAAAAGAGGCTTTATATGAGTAATGAAAACAGGCACATATACACAATCTCTGTTAGTGGATGAACATAACAATGAATTCGCAGACGCGAAGATCACTGTCCGATAGACTAATCAAAATCGCGTTTACAAGCGAAAAACGTGACGAATAATGTCGTCCGTAAAGATGCGCCACCAATATATGTAAGATTACCAGAACAAATCGTGAGTCACCGAGAGTTGTTCGGCAGATCAGTACCCGTGTACGTGTAAAACTAAACGCGAAATTTGACGAACTTTCTCTAATGGAGGTAGAAAACAGCTCTGAGGTACTGGTTCAAATCAGGCGACAAATGCATCTATATCGCAGGGACATTCCTGAGCGGTAATTGCACAAATGCCTTTAATCTTGGCCACTTACAATGTAGGAGTAAGAAGCAACCCCACGGAAAATTAGCTCGTGTTTATGATGGCCGAATCGGTTGGCTTAGAAATCGCATCAACCGGACTTCTGAATGAAATGTTGGGATACTGAGTGAACAGAAAAATGTTCTATCTGGACAGCCGTTGTAGACTGATCTACCGAATGCAACACGTGTGTAAGAGCACGGTGGCTTTCAGACGGGGAGCCTATAGGGATAGCTCCTTCGTGATCTGGAGTATGGTTTTGCGAACGGAAACTCCGCTGGTAATCCTGGAGCGCAATCACCCAGTTGCATTTCATATCAAGACTTGGGACGAGTTTCTTGTTGCTAGATATCGACAGATACATGAGGGCTGAGCAAACAGTTTCTGGATGCACAAAAAGTTATATTTGTTACACAAAAATAACGAATACATTTTCTCAAAGTATGCGCCACTAGCATTCATCCACAGAGTTCCATGCGCTCAAACCATTTGGTGAAACAGCTAGATCATGCTGAAGCGAGTGCCCCTTCGACCGATTCCATGAAAGCCTCCACCTGCAGCTGTCGGTGACTCGTGTTGGATTCCACGCATCATGCGCTTGAAATTTGGGAACATAAAAACATCAAACATAACCAGGTTTAGACTGTAGAGTGGATGACCAAACTCACGGATGCGTTCTCTAGTCAGAAAATTGCTGACACCACGGGATCTATGTGCAGGTGCATTATCACGATGCAGCAAGGTCCCGCGTGTTCGAGTCCTTGCACGAAGCCCGGCAACAGCTTCCAACACTTTCGGCAGACACTGGGTGATGTACCAGTCTCCGATGCCTTGCTGTACGAGCGGTGCAATAGTCACCTGACCGGTTTTGGTCATGAACACAACCACCATCTGCTTTGCCACACTGCACTCGCGTCGGAATTTCCGAGGCGGTGCCCCACCAACCGGCTTCCCCTGAGCCGACTGTTGCTCGGATTCTGGGTTGAAACTGTGCCCTTCTGATGATCTCCCAAACTGCATTGGAACGTCTACCGTGAAACCTGACAAGCATGGTGTGGCACCAATTCACTCGAACTGCTTTCTGTTCCTTACTAAGCTAATGGGGTACCTAGTGTGCGCAAACCTTTCTGAAGCCCAGCTTCTTATTGACGATGGTGTGAATCGATCCCGATGAGATACCGATTACTTTCGTCAACTGTGCCGCTGTCACCCGCGAATCCTCCTCCACCACCATCAATGCTGTCTGCTGTGGTGGCCGCCACAGGTTTACCACACCGTGTCCCAGCATCCAGGGACCGCCTGCCACGTTTGGATTCTGCAAATCACTCAAACACAGTGCTTCTTGAAGGCGTGTCATCATCAAAGACAGTTTGCAAGCGATCACCACACTGCTGCGGTTGCTTTTACTGCTTTAACCCATATTTGCAGTCATAGGGTGGGGGGAGGAGTTGAGGAAGGAGAAGGGGTCATTCTTTTATTCATACTTTCACCGAAATAAAGATACTTAGCCTTTCTCCGCCTTCCCTCGGAATAACTATGATTTTCGCAAATCAAATGACTTGGTACGCGTTTCCAGATGAGTTCTGATTCAGTGCCTGTGAATGAGAAGTTTTACCTGAATCCGCTATGGAGACGAACCCGTGCAATTACAGCGCAGGTCAATTGGCGAGAGGTGTGAACTTGCATCACCGATCCCTATGCAGACAGGATCAATGCCCGAACGCCTCGTTCAAGGAAATTCGGATTTCTATAGAAAAAAGTGAATGTCTTCGAAACTCTCACAGAAAATCGCAGAACTGAATCTTCTCCTATGAATCATACGATAGAAAGCAATGCAAGTGTTGCATACGCACCTGCGGTTTGCGTGCGTACGTTCTGCGAACGTGCGCATCGATTATTTGCTCGTTCGTTATCGATTGATATCTATTTAAATCAACCAAACACATGCATTTGTCCGTGCCAATACTACCGGCCTGATTCTGGTTGGCTGCTAGTTCTCTCGCTGTCTTGCTTAACATACGCTTGACACGATTGATTGTGAATGAGTCATAATAAATAGATAAATAAATCTATCCTACCCTGCGTACTGTTGGTCCACGTTACTAGCGCGCTACGGGTCCGAGACTACACTGTGTGAAATTCAAACGTAACAGCAAGTGCTCTGCCCATTCATCAACCCAATAAAGCCTTAGGTGTGTGAAACATGTGTCATACACAGCCTGTTCGCACTGGGCTTCAGTTTGATGTACCCGTTTCTCTATTCAATCATCAAACACCGATTAAATGAGGCGAGATATGATTCAGCTACCGGATATTGCTCCATCCGAAACACAACATCCAAAGCCGTAATGATAGTTTTTGGAAGCACCGAGATCAGACTTTCCGGAAGAAACTGAACGTCCCGTGGATCGGGATCGGATAGAAACAGTCCTGTCTTGACAAGCATAAACAAAACAACTGCTGAAACATGCTGTCAATTGCCGAGATCAACATAACAATGATGGTTGTGCGTTCGACCGAGAATGATGTACGTGGGTGAGTGGGAGGGAGGGAAAGACACCCCGTGTGCAAAATGTGGTTATGTTTATAAGGAAGAAACACCGGAGGGTTTCTTGGATTATAGCTGTATGAGAAACAGTGATTGTTGGCCCAGTGGTGAACAGTCAAAATAGATGATAGATATAGATGAATTGAATCGCATTCGATTCCCGTCACAATTCATCCCATCCGCACATCAGAAGTCCTCGAGCATCGGTTCTCTCCCTCTCCACACCCCCCCCCGTCCCACCCCACCCCGATCCCCACATGAGAAAACCAACCGGGATGTGGAATCAACAAGACCTGTTCGGCATAATGATTCACCATTCTGATCGGAACAGCGAATCATTAGTGCGTGTGTGCGTGCATACGCATACAAACCACCAGTCACCATGGTATCTGTTCATAAAGGAAGATCCATTTTCATCCAACCCCTACCCCCGACCCGGCCCCAGTCGAATACACTGTCTATCGAGAGACTAGATAGGATTAGCCCCGACCGATTGCTATTTTGTCCGGCCAAATCATCTGAGGTCTGAGGGGATGAGAGGAGGACAGAGGTCGTAAATCGTTTGAGCTATTTTTCGCAATTGGATTATCTTTTTACCACCGGGGTACTGTACTGACACCGAACAGGCTGAGATTGATGGTAACCATCTGCTCGAAAGGAGATATATGACAAACCGGTAG